AAAGGCCCTGGGGCCCACTGCTGTGATGGAGGCACAGGGACGAGGCCACAGTGGCTGGAGAAAAAGAACCCGGGAGTGAAGGGTCTGAGAACCACAGCTGCTAGGTCCATCAGATCCTTTCCACTGCTCCTGGCTTTTACTCCAGATTTATGCAGAGCTCGGCATACTTTAGAAAGACCACCCTGGCCACCGTGTGTTCAAAAAGTTAGGGCATCTGTTGCAATTGCTTACTGTTGTAGAATCCACGGGAGGGAGGACGGTGGCTTGAACCAGGGAGGGGGCAGCAGAAGTGATAAGAAGAGACCAATACTGAGTGTATTTTGAAGGCGAAGCCGACAGCATTTGCTGTTGGGCTGGAGGTGGGGGTGTGTGTAAAAGAGGAACTGCTGGAAAATGGTTTCCATTTACTGAAAAGGGGAAGAGGCTGTTGGGGGAGGAGCAGGTCTTAGAGGATATCTGGAATTTGGGTTTGTACGAGTTATGTTTCAGATACCTGGTGGACGCCAAAGTTCAGAGAGACTGTCACAGCTGAGGGATGTAGGGAGAAGGGGCATTTCACGTGGCCTTGAAGGATGCTAATATTTGGAGACCAGAGGGGAAATGTGCTTCAGGTAGAAACGGGGTTGTGGGCAAAGGCGGCAGGGCAGGAAGCAGTTCACGGGTCTGTAGGGTGTTGGATAGCCCCACAGCTCTGTTGTTTGGCCTGCTCAGGAAAAGCTGATTGGGCAGCAATAAGGCTGCCTGAAATCTGGCTGCCTGAGTGGCTGCTTAGGCCTGGCCTCTTAACACATTAGCATTGCATGTCTGGACCCTGGAGTCCTGGGCAGAGCCTGGGTGTGTGGTGAAGGAATGCAGGAGCAGGCCCCACATTCAGAGGGACCAGGACCAGACCTGGAGGCCCGGCAGGGGCTGGGGGTGGGGGCGCCTGCACAGATGAACAACCACGTGGGTGTTAGTGTCATCTCAGGGCCTGCATTTTGTCCCGAGTCATCTCAGAGCGGCTCCCAGCCCTTCCTTCAGGGCCACTGCTGCTCTTCAGACCTGACCCTCTCCTCCCCACTTGTCACAGGCCCATGATTGAGCTCTGTATTCCTTCCTCGCTGGACCCCACCCTGGCTCCCCCCGGCTGCCACGTTGTCTCCCTCTTCACCCAGTACACACCCTACATGCTGGGTGGAGGCAAGGTCTGGGACGAGCAGGAGAGAAACGCTTATGCAGACAAAGGTAATGAGGGCTACAGTGTTCTGTCTCCAGAACGTCACCCAGTACACACCCTACATGCTGGGTGGAGGCAAGGTCTGGGACGAGCAGGAGAGAAACACTTATGCAGACAAAGGTAATGAGGGCTACAGTGTTCTGTCTCCAGAACAACAGTTGGCCATGCAACCCAACTGGACCCCTCTCCTCCTGACTGCCCAATTCAGGGTCGACACCTTCAGGTCAACATAGTGAATGTCACTGGGGTCGTGCACTGGGCTAAGAGAGCTGAGAAGACAATTCCTGCCCTCAAGTTGCTCACAGTCTAGTGCGGGAGACTAACTACGAAACCAGTCATTACAGTACAACATATGGTATCAAACCAAAGGAAGACGCCATGAGCCAGAGGGACAGAAAGGGTTTGAAAGGAAGGGACATTTCAGCTGGGTTTTAAAGGATGAATAGGAGTTGGTCAGGCAGCAAAGGGCGTTCCAAGCAAAAGAAATAGCTTCAGCAAAGTCATGAGGTGGAAACAGCTTGTACATTCAAGAGGAGACAAGTCACTTTGTGACTAGGGTTGGGGTAAGGAGGTAGGAAACAGTGGGGGCCTGGACTAGCCTAAGACCATAGGTCTTTAGGATGAATCATTTATTTGCCTGTGGACTGTTTTTGTTTTCACTTATTTACGTATAATTTGCATATGATAGAATAGGCCCTTGTAAGGGCATAATTTAACAAATTTTGGTAAATTTACCACGGTGTACAACAGTAACACCTCCTCCTCTTCTTCCCGACGCCATCTGACTTCTCGCCGTCGGGCACCCCAGTGTTTGGCTGCATCGAGGCCTACGCTCCTGGCTTCAAGGGCTCTGTGGTGGGCAGAGACATCCTCACACCACCTGATCTGGAGAGAATCTTTGGGCTCCCTGGAGGGGTGAGTGTGAGCCCTGGGGTCCCTCATCAAGTTCTGCTCCCTCCCCCACCCCTCGCTGGCTGTGTCCTCTTGGCTTTACCCAGCCCTCATTGAGAAGGTAGGACAGTGCAGAGACCATGGCCGAGAGGGGACAGAGAAGTGGTCAGATCTAGGGAATGGGGGAGGAGAGGGGACACAGAGACACAGGGGAGGTGGCACCAGCTGAGATCACCAAGACAGTTGCCCTTCTACCTCGATGTCCACGTCAGCCTCTCCATCTGACTTTCTTCAGAGGGAGCTCCCCTCCTTAAGGCAGCATATTCTCAGACTTCTCAGTTTATCAAAAACTAGAGACTGGGGGCAGGAGACCAGTGACAAGGCCAGGTCCAGTACGGGAGCCCCTAGCTGCATGTGGCTGTTGGGCACTCAGGAGGCGTCTAGGCCACCATGAGATGTGCTGCAGGTCAAAGTGCCCCACAGATGGCAAAGACGTAGCACGGAAAGAACGGGAAATGTGTCATTAACAATTTGTATATTGATTACATGTTGAAATGACAATAGTTTAGACATATTGGGTTAAATAAAATATATTATTGATGTTAATTTCACCAGTTTGCTTTTACTTTTAAAATGTGGCTACTAGTAACCTAAAGTTACATGTGTGGCTCACGTCACGTTTTTATTGGATAGTGCAGGTCCAGGTATAAAGAGGGCTGGGCAGCGGGGAGGGAAGGCCCGGGTGGGTGAAGAGGGCGCGGGGCAGGTAGGATGGCGAAGTCTGGGTAGCAGTGTGCACCTGCAGGTCGGGCTGGAGCTGATGTGAACGATCCAACCCAGAAGGTGGTGTCATTCATGAGGCAGGAAGATGGGGTAAGAGCAGCCGTGAGAGAGGAGAATGGGCTTGGTTTGGGATATAGTGAGGGGGGCAGCCAGAGACACATCCCTGTGATGCCCAGCTGATGTTGGTCTTGTCCAGAGCTGCCTCTAGGGTCTGACCTTCCTCTCACCCCACGCTGCCCACTTCTCCACCTGGGGCTGGTCTGATCCAGGCCAGCGAGACAGCCAAGCTCAGGTCCCAATTAATGTGCTCTTGCTGGAGCTTGGACCCCCAGGGTCCAGGCTCAGATGGTTCCCTGGCCAGAGAAACATGTTCCAGCAGAAGCGTGTGCCAGCAGCCCGAGTTAGTCAGGCTCGTCTCTTTGTCAAACGGAGTGAAGGGGACGCCTAGTCCACAGCACAACCCTGACTTAGGATTGTCCCTTTTCTTTCCCGTTTAGTTTCCTCACACTCTGAAGATGTTCCCCACCCTTCTTTCTTCCTGAAAAATGCCTCTGGAAACTACACCCCCAGCCCTAGGACATGGGCCTATTCTCTCTCATCCCTTCCCCTTCTGCATTTTAAGAGACCAAGTGTGTCGTCCATTTTTGTTGTTTATAGCAGAATACCTGAAACTGGGTAATTTGTGAAGGAATAAAATCTATTTCTTCCAGTTTCAGAGGCTGGGAAGTCCAAAGTCTGGGGGACACATCTGGTGAGGGCCTTCCTGGTGGATCTACAGCCATGCAGGGTGTCACATGGCGACTGGCTTGAGCAAGAGAGCTACCCGGCTCGCTCGCTCTCCTTATAAAGCCATCAGAACAGCGCCCGTGACCACCCACTACACCATCAACTCATGACTCCATGAGTGGGTCCATCCATTCACTAGGGCATGGGCCTCACAATCCAATCACTTTTTAAGGCCTTGCCTTTCAATGACCATAATAGGATTTGCCACCCTCAACAGTGGGGATTAATATGTAAACCTTTGGGGGACACAATTCAAACCATAGCACCAAGAAAATATCTTGGGAGGAGAAGAACCGTCCTTGGAGAACAGGGGAGGGGAAGAAAGAGCTGGGCAGTAAAGACCGTAACACTCCTATGTTAACACCCGCGGCCCTGCCCCCTGCAGAACATATTCCATGGTGCCATGTCCCTGGACCAACTCTTCTTCGCCCGCCCTGTGCCCCTGCACTCCAGCTACCGCTGCCCACTCCGGGGCCTGTATCTCTGTGGAAGTGGGGCCCATCCTGGTGAGTAACCCAAAGTCCCTCTGCCCTGCATTGGCTGCGAGGGTCTCCAGAGGTCAGAGGCTTACAGAGGAGGAAAAGGATACACAATGAGGGGGCAGCAGGGAGGGATGGGGACACAGAAGTCCCACTGCCACAAGCCAGCTCTCTTCAAAATTCTCAGTGCGAGACACAGCAGTCGCCTCAGCCAGGCTGGCCACAATCTCAGTTTAGCTCATGCCTCCTCCCCAGGAAGTTTCAGGATGTGTCCCACTGGAGGCACCTCTCCAAATTCCAGTTTGGGGTTGCGGGAGACTCATGTCCCTAAATTCCTCATCTGTGTTAACACCCGTAAGGATCAGTAAAGTTGGGTTTCTCATCTTTAAAATTCTCTCTTGTGCCTAATCCAAGCCTAACTGATCTCACTGAGGCTACCAAATCATAGTGATACTCTGTGAGCTGTGTGGGCCTCGGCATCTGGAAAGGGTCTGTACTTCCACATCTCCTGCCTCCAACCCTTAGTCTTAGATTTTAATTTTGCCTGCTGAGTGTCCCACCGTCTAGCAGGTCGACTCTGAGACCTTGAGAGGAGAGCGCTAGCGTGGACTGCAGGCCTGGCCCCTCCCGGAGCTTTGGTGCAGGGAGCTGGATAGCAGCCCAGAGTCTCTTTTAATAGTCGTCCCGGGTGATCCTGATGCCCGCAGCCCTAGTGCCACCCTGGAAGCAGCCCCACTCGGCTTTGTCCCTGGCCCTCTGTAAGCCCCGCCCCTGCGCTTCCCTGGTGGGTTTTGAGCAGAGCTTTGGTTCATGGGGGATTCCCTTCCAGGAGGAGGTGTCATGGGAGCCGCTGGACGAAATGCAGCCCACGTGGTCTTTCAGGACCTCAAGAGCATGGGATCCTGAACCAACTCTGACCCATCAAGAAGAATTCACCCCTGAGCTTCTAAGTTCCCCACTGGGTCAGCTTCACAGGAAGATCTGCTGCAAAGGACATTACTTGATACAAGAAGTCCTCAAGGTTCAAGCCATTATTTTAGAAGAAACGTGCAAGTTACATTTAGTATAAGTTAGCCTTGTGCTCCACGCCTCTGTGAATGAGCCGGTTTTGTTTGATTAAAAACAGTATTTTATACAGACAGTTTTCTTGTATTTTTGTCTATGTATTAGTAGGACTATGTAATAACAGGAGGAATAAACTTGTCTAGGATACTCAGTATTCTCAGAACGTCAGCTGGAAACAGTCCATTTGACCAGTGAAGAGTCTGGTGCAAGCATCCCCTTCTCACGGGCTGGGCCCCCTACCAGCTGAATGGACGACTGCCCCGGTGAGGCCCGGTCACCTGCTGTCTTGTTCCCGGCAAACTAGAAGAATGCACGCAATACCCCAATGACCCACAAAGTCACCCACAGCAGCCATGGGCCTGAAGGACACTTAGCATCTCAAGTCATCAAGACCTGTAGTCAGGCAAACAGCAATCAGGGGTGACTGCAAAGAGGATTCCACTGAGGCCATCTGGGAGCCGCCATTCCTGATTCTAGAGCATTCAGCCTCCCACTTCTCATGAGCTATACCTGTCACATCACTAAAACCTTTCAATATAAAACTATGTAATTCTAAAGCGAGTTGGGTTGTCACTCTTGGTCAGAAAGACTCATACAAATGTCCCCTGGTAAAGCAGCTCTCCCAGCCAACTTCTCCTGTTCCAGCGGCCAAGGCCATGGTCCAAAGCAGCCCCATCTGCAGAGGAGACAGAACCTTTCCCAGAGCATCTCTTCCCTCTGCTCACTGGGAAAATTTACACAGATTAAGATACACCCACTTCGGGGCCAGCCCGGTGGCGCACTGCTACAGTGTGCCACTTGGGAGCGCAGTGGCGCTCCTGCCGAGGGTTCGGATCCCACATACAGACCGGCCG